GGGGAATTAAGAAGAAGGGGGGATTAAGAAGAAGGGGAGGGGAATTAAGAAGGGGAAGGGGGAATTAAGAAGAAGGGGGAGGGAGGGGAATTAAGAAGAAGGGGGGATTAAGAAGGAGGGGGGGAATTAAGAAGAAGGGGAGGGGTGGGGGGATTAAGAAGAAGGGGGGAGGGATTAAGAAGAAGGGGGGAGGGATTAGAAGAAGGGGGAGAGGTGCAGGGATTAAGAAGAACAGGGGGGTGGGGAGATTAAGAAGAACAGGGGGATTGGGGGAATTAAGAAGAATGGGGGGATTAAGAAGAACGGGGGTTAAGAAGAACAGGGGGAGTAAGAAGAACACAGAGAGGAGGGGGAAGAGTAAGAAGGACACAGGGAGGAGGGGAGAGAAGGGGAGATGAGGAGAACACAGGGAGGGGGAGGTGAGAAGAACACAGGGAGGGTGGGGGAGTGAGAAGAACACAGGGAGGGTGGAGGGAGTGAGTAGAACACATGGGGGGAGGTGAGGAGAACACACAAGGAGGGTGGGGGAGTGAGAAGAACACAGGGAGGGTGGGGGAGTGAGAAGAACACAGGGAGGGTGGGGGCTGAAAAGAACACCGCAGGTTTAGAGGGGGGATGAGAAGAGAACAGGGAGGGTGGGTGGATGTGTGTAGTGACTGCTAGGGTAAGGGGAGGGGGGAGAGACCAGTAAGGGGCAGGGGAGAGCTCTATAGGACAGGGGGCAGGACAGGGAGCTCTTTCACACTACGCGCACACACACACAATGCATCCCTATATATACACAAACACACAATGCATCCCTACACACACAGAAACACAACATGCTTCCCTTACACACAGAGAAACACACAATGCATCCATTGCACACAAAGACAATGCAACCCCTTGCACACATACACAGAAACACACAATGCAAACCCTTACACACACATGCAAACACACACACTGCTTCTCTTACATATACACAGAAACACAATGCATTTCATACACACACTCAATGCACACACTTACAGACACACACCTTGCATCCCTTATGCATATAAACACAGATTCACACAATACATTGCTTATACACAAACACACACTGCTTCCACTACAAACAAACACACTGCATCACCTACACAAACTGGTATCCCTATACACTACATTCCAGAAGCACACACATTAGATCCTCTACAATAACACATAACACATCCCCTACACACTCCACTCCCTGTGAGCGAACTCATGGGTGGAACATGTAGGTGGACTTTTAGGTGGGCCTTATGGGCATACTCACCGTCAGGCCTTGGGACCCAGACCTTGAGCTGTTTAAGGGGCCCCCAAAAAATGGAGCTGCTTCTCATTCTACTAGAACTTTGAATTTTGTGATCACAGTTACAAACAGCCTTCAGAGAACCTGTTCTACACCAGACCAGTGGAGCCAAACTGCAGCCCATCATCATCCTCATCTGGTTGTAAGTAGGCAATCCAGTGTATTATTAGTGACACTAATCTATAATTTACCTCACATTAAAGGGACATTATAATCCCCAGAACCACTTCAGCTTAATGAAGTGGTTCTGGTATCTATAGCCGGTCCCTGCAGGCTTTTAAAGGTAAACACACACTGTGTGCAGCATTGGCATTAGTTCATATGGCAGATCATATAGGTGGGGCATTGTGAAGTCACATGGGGGGGCGGCAAATTTTTCTTTTGCCTAGGGCAGCAAAAATCCTTGCACCGGCTCTGATCCTGGGCAGATGCACCAGTCTACTGGTGACCCACAGGAGGGCAGTGTACTGAACTCTCCTCCTGCTCAGACCTGTCTTTACTGCAGTGCAAGTGCCCTCTGCCCCTAATTTACAGTGGCTCACACTCACAACAAGCAGTGCCTGGAGCCCTTTGCAGAGACTGGAACAAAGAGGTTCTGCGGCAGCTGGCCGTCCTGCAAGCATTACATTAAACAGCTGTTCCCCATGCAGCCACAGGTGCTGCTGTGCTGGGAGATTGTGATTACTCTTCACTTCCTCCCAGCCTACAGAGCAGCGCATGGAAGAGAGAGAGGAGGAGGCATGATTTAATCTTACAACAAATCCACTAAGCAAATCTTTATAAATTGGGGGGCTCAGCTCTGTTTGCACAGTTTATTGGTGTTTACTCTGATGTCTGTATTAATATTGAGGGATTTCTAAGTAGTAACATCAGTGTGTTTCAGCAGGGCCAGCCGTTGGGGTGTGCATGCTGTGCGGTCACGCAGGGTGCCATCACAATAGAGGCACCCCGCGGACAACACAGCTCACAAGTTGGGGACACCAGCCTATTCAAATTAAACGATTTGCTGGTGGTCCACTGGTGCCTACCAGCAGTAGGTGCAGTCAGATTATATCCTCTCCCCCGTGGTTCCGGGGCTCAGTTAGTGAGTCGGAGCACAGGCTCAGAGATTCTCAGCCTGCGCTCTGACAACATTGAAAGTCAGAGCCGTGAAGGAGCGGGTATAGCAAAGAGCTACTGATTAACATAACATCAATATCCGTTATAAAACAAGGAAAAGGTGGGCATGGATGGTGAACTGATTTGGTGGTGCAATGGGCCACTTGACTGGTTTTGCCCCCCAGGCCTAAGGCTGCCAGCCCTCCCCTGCCTCATGGAGTCTGTTTCTGACCGTTTGAGCAGACACATGCACACTTGTGGCCTGCACAAAGGCGGAGGTAGCGGTCCTGCTGCTGGGTTGTTGCCCCCTTCACGTCTCCTGATGTATTGGCCTGTCTCCTGGTAGCGCCTCCATGCTCTGGACACAACGCTGACAGACACAGCAAACCTTCTTGCCACAGCTCGCATTGATGCGCCATCCCGGATGAGCTGCATTAACGGAGCCACTTGTGTGTGTTGTAGACTCCGTCTCATGCTACCACTAGAGTGAAAGCACCGCCAGCATTCAAAAGTGACCAAAACATCAGCCAGGAAGCATAGGAACTGAGAAGTGATCTGTGGTCCCCACCTGCAGAACCACTCCTTTATTGGGGGTGTCTTGCTATTTGCCTATAATTTCCACCTGTTGTCTGTCCCATTTGCACAACAGCATGTGAAATTGATTGTCACTCAGTGTTGCTTCCTAAGTGGACAGTTTGATTTCACAGACGTGTGATTGACTTGGAGTTACATTGTGTTGTTTAAGTGTTCCCTTTATTTTTTTGAGCAGTGTATAAATAATACTATTCAATCATATTAAAATGTAATAACGTTTTCCTTTAAACAATACAACCCATACTATTTAATACTACTCCTATAAATAAAACCATATTAATAATACTATCTGTATAAGTAATACTATGACTGTGGATATAATCTACTTTAAAATACAA